AAATATCAGTTAGTTCACTAAACTTGAAAAAAATAGTTGGAAAATGTTGTCTTAATTTTATTGAGTTAGATCCAAGTAACAGTTTTAACAGTGTACTAAATACTGAGCAAAGGGTCTGAATACTTATGACCATGTGATATTTCAGTTTTTCTTTTTTAATAAATTTGCAAAAATTTCTACACTTCTGTTTTTTTCTGTCAAGATGGGGTGCTGAGTGTACATTACTGAGAAATAAAATGAACTTTTTTGATTTTTGGAAAATGGCTGCAATGAAACAAGAGTGAAAAATTTAAAGGGGTCTGAATACTTTCCGTACCCACTGTATTTAAAAAATCTAGGCTATATTTAGCCCAGAGCCGGCCCTGCACCAGCTGACGTGGATGATGGCGCGTTTCAATTGTGTCGCCGTGTGTGGCCCTGCAAGGTAAACACCTCAGATACCAGCTGCTACTGAGACGTTTAGGCCTACCTTTATTGAGTTGCCGTTATATTGATTGGACGCTGCAGCTGATCGGACTGATCTGATGCATCACGACAGATAACATTAAACTCAAGCGCATCACTGCAAAGAGTTAGGCTATATTTGTTTTATGATTCACTGTCTAGTTAAAATCTGAGTTCATTGTAGGCTAGGTCTGAACAACAAAAGCCCCACACACAACTTTCTTCTATTAGAATGATTTTATTTTTCTTTTATTTCTTCCATCAACTTTTATTATGGAGTTATTATGGATTAAAGTCAGAGAGAGTCGGAGAGCCTGTCAGCAAGAAACATCTTTTACATCATTTATCGTCATTTCTATTCAGTCACATGTGAGGCTGGTCATTCCTGTGTTTAGTCCAAATAGACGACAATAAAACATATGAACAAGTTCGGAGTCGGACAAGTCAGTAAACTGCACTAAAGCCTCTAGTGAAGCAAGCAAAGGAAAATAAATAGCTCATCCAGCCGATCTCACCTACTGCATCTGATGAAAGCAGCTGACGGCTCCTCGAGTAAAATCAGCTGATGAAAGTAGGCTATGAATGAAAGATGCTGCGCTAAAAAAAAAATAAATAAAAGCTTCGGATTGATATGATGGAACACAGTGATCGATACGTGACGAGTGATGTGACTTGCATAAATTAAATGCATTAGTGTTAAAGGATATCAGAAGAGGAAATAACTGAAAGCCTAAAACTGAGCGTCGACTTAGAGGCCTACATCATCTCCCTGAAACATTTAGCCTAATAAATCCCAAGACACCATGATATAGCCTATAGCCTATTCTGGGTTATTCAATAACGAATTTACGATCAGAATCAACAAATAAAAATAGATATATAATCATTGTGCCAGTAGAAATGATCCTGTGCCTCTGAGCAGGATATAGGCCTACTGTAATTAATTATTCAGGTGCAGGTGTTTGCTATCAGAAAAGTGCACATGTGTGCAGACCTGGGGTCTCATTTATAAGTACAAAACAGGTCTGGAAACGTGCGTAGGCTTACACCACTTCCCAAGGAAAGGTTGTGATCTATAAAAAACAAACTTGACGGGAAAATGTGCGGTCCTCTAAGTAAACTCTGATCCATGCCTATAAAGAGGAGAAAGAGAAACAGCTGACTGACATGGCAGAAGGGTGAATTGTTTTGAATGAATAGGCCTACTATTGTGTAAAATAAATCGAAATATTATCTCTGAGTATTATAGGCTTAAAGCCTTTCTGAATAAACAAACACCCGTTTGATAGACTTTCCCTGAAGTGCGCAAAAAGACACACAATTTAAGATAATTTGCCACGCACACAAAAATCCAGATTTAGGATAATAAACACAAAGGGAGATATCTGTTTCTGAAAAATAATACCTCAAGTATGTTAATCCGGAATCACATTAAATAATACTTGCAATGCAGTTTATTCTCATAAATAAGGGAAACAGGAGGAAAAATTACATTTAAATTGATGCGGTTTTCAGTGCCTCAGTCCAGCAAATACCAGAGCATAGTTTTATATATTGTTATCACAAGTTCTTTGCCTTTTCGAGCCAAACGCTGTGCGCCAGCGTGTGGATGTGATGCGCTGCTTTTAAAAACACATTATGGAAATTTAACATTATTTTATGTAATTTAGCTGAATGCATTTGGTTTAATCTCTTTTCAAACGGGGGGAATCCAAATTAGTACCTGGGTCAGCGTTTGTGTCCCCCTCCAGCCAGTGACGTCACTGAAGAGATGCCCCTTCCTGCAGATCGGTTATAAAGGGGTGGAGCTCCGGTGCCCCATTTCCTCAGGTGCTCAAGCGTTGTGTGAAAGTGTTTTTTTACCCACCAAACAACATGTTTCAGCTTCACCAAAAGGAACGTCAGTGTCACACTAAGTAAAATCCTTTTCTTCCTGCAGTCAGGAAGTATTAATATTAATGAAGGGCGTTTGACTGACCATTTATAGGCAACCATGGGCGTTTGAAGGGTCGGACATGGAGCTCCCTCACATACGCCGCATTTCGAGTTGATTGTGATTTATAAAGGGAACTTACTTACAAGTGTGCGCATGCACGGTTTTATACGTCTGAATATTTTTTGGTGTACACCATTTTAAGCTTTTGGGAGTACATAGACTTTTAGTGAGGATTGTAAGCACAGTTTTATAAATGAGACCCCTGGAAATTCCTATTTCTGCATTCACTCTGACACAATAAAGATGCACTGAGTTTAAATGAGTAGAATAACATCAACATGTCTTTTCAGAGCAAATGTCTCAGTTACTCTGAAAAATAAACAGTTTTGAGTGGAAAAAAATTCTACCAAGAAATAGTCCCTGAAAACTTTATGACTTTTGCCAAGCCTGAGTTTCAGTAGGTTTCTGTGGGATGTGCTCATCCAATTTGAAGAATTAAAATCACAACTGACAGAAATAGAACTTTGTTGATGCATAAAATGATCAAAACAATTTTTCTACAAACAATACAAAAAATATAAAATCCATTCAGGTGAGGATATGTTTTTCGATAGCAGATCATGACATAAAGTAACTGTTGAACTTGATCTTTCTCATCCAACTCTGAAAAAGACACTGACTATAATCACCTGGGTACTAAAGCTCAAACTACTGTAGCAAACTTAAAGAAAAGTTGAAAATAAATGACAAAATGAAAACTAATAATATGCAGTCCGTACCTGTGCTTTGTGCTAAAATAGAGAGTAATTAAATCCACATGATGTAATTGTTTTATAATCTACTGATAAATTAACACAATTTTTACACACAACACAATACTGAACATGTCTCATGTTTGAAAGCAGACGCCCACACAGTAAGTTTATAAAATGCTGTCGACCATTTTTCTTTACCAACTCAGCTCTCTTTACAGACCTGGAAGAAAAACAACAAAATATCAAGATATAGGTTTATTCACGATGTAAGGATGCTGTCTGACGTGTTATTTTGAAATAGACCCATTTAATTATCTGCAGAATAAATCATGACAGAATGATCATCATATGGCAGCTTTATAACCAAGTGCTGTTCCTGGTTTGACTTCAGAATAAACTGTTTCATCAGCTGCTGCAGGAGGTGATTTTCCTGTAGATGGAAAGTTATGGAAAATTGCCAATAAAGTCAGAATTAATAATGTACTGAACTAACAGGTACACTGTCAGAGTTAACGTCTCCACGAACACAAAGAATGACAGTATTGTAACGCCCACAGAGCTCAAACCAGCAGAGTAGTAGATCTTTCACAGGATTTACTAATGTATGTAAACTGTTCTTAAACAAGGCAGAAATACAAAATGTAAAATAAATATTCAAAATTACTTTCAAACTGTTCGTTTTTAAATAGCTGGTAACTTGAAATAGACCAGTTGTCGGCAGCACTGCATGCACGCAAACCTCACACAAGACAGGTGAATGACAGGTGAGGGAGAGAGAAAAGGGTCTTCAAAAAGCCTCAGTTTAGCTGGAAATTTACAGTGTAAGCTGAATTAATAGAGACTGCAGCTCTGCAGCTTCTCAAGATTAAAGCAGAGCTACCCTTTGTAACGCCCCCCCCCCCCCCACACACACACACACACACACACACACGCTCGCAATCACCACACACAAAAACACACATGGCAGGACGATTCGACTATGTAAATCCTTAGTCGGGGACTGTACAGCTGGATGGATGAACGGACGGGTTGACGGGTAGACTATAAAACAAAAGAAACTTGGGATGCTCTTGTGTTTTTCAAGTACAGTGGCGTCAGATTTTGAATGTAAATGAAAATTCAGACAAATTGTCACCACACTGACATCTCAGATAATGTGTTTTTGTTTTTTTATGCCTTAATCTGTGGGATGAAATATATTGGAAACACACGACACCCAACACACAATAAGATTCACATGCTGATACAAAACAAACAGAAATCTTAAGAGCCTAAAGGCCCAGATGTGTGTGAGACTTGACAATTTCCAGCTCTGGTGACGCCTAGTGACAGTATGTAGTAGATACCGAAGGTCACTGAGATTAACTGAACTGCATGCTGAACCATATTTACCTCCAGCGTAATGATACGACACATTTCAAGATAAACTTTGAGCATGACTGTTGTCTCTGACTGTACCTGCAGTCCCAGCGTTCACCTCAGAGTAAACACAGACCTCCTCTGGTTCATGTCGCTTCTCTGTTAAGAAAACCAGATGAAACCAAAAACAATAAATCAATACTTCACTCTTCAGGGCAAAACATCTCTAAACTGTTTCCTATTTATGTATTTAGAGTACTCACTTTTCTTTCTAACGTTTTTAATCTCGATCAAAGAATATGTGAAATCCTGGGACTCATCTGCAACTGAAATATACAAAAACAGCACTAATATTATTTTAAGTAATTTGATCTGGTTGCTGGAAATTCTGATTAATTAAAAAAAATATTAAAGTGCAGTTCAGCAAAAAGAAAGCTGACATCTAAAACGTTTTCACTTGTTTTACATAGCATGTTAATAAAATGATAAAAAGGTATATACTGTACCACTCTGTGTGTTTTCAAAGCCTTTGATTGTTTCATAGAGAGGAGCATCACCTGCAGCCACTGTCAAATTAATCTATTTAATTGCACGATACAAATGAAACACTATCTGAATTTTAAAAAGTGTGTAGATATACATCAATTAAATGCTTACCGTGGACAGGAGAGGAGTAGTTTTCGACAGAACCTCGATTAGTGCTCTCAGACTGGATTGGCCTACAACATGAATCAAACACAATACATATAAAAAGGAACAAGAAATGTTGCTGCTGTGTTCAAAATTAGAGAAGGGAGTGTTGTACCAACCTGATGGAGCAGGAATCTGTGAAAAAGACATTTGTTGTTACATGGTTTTGTTTTGTAAGTTGTTATTCAGCTATTCTATGTGATGAGATCAGAACACGTGTTCTGAATAATTAAATCACATAATATCTAATAAAAGAAGAAAAGGTCTCACCTTTGGACGGTCTGTAGCGATACAAAAGGAGCAGAAGAGAATAAGTACGATTCCACAAACCAGCCCAACAATCAACGGTACAGGAACTGAAGAGCTTTCAGGTCTGGACACTGATATAAATAAATAAATAAATAACTGTTAACTTATAGCTTAAAGCGCTTGTCTTGAACAAAATGTGCTTTATTAAAAATTTTAGTCATGTCACAACTACAACACATTCAAGCACAAATGCAGAGGTATAAACACATATGCACGTAGATAAACAACATAATCCCAGTCTCAATGTCATGTAATGTTTTGACACACATGAGTACTTATAGTACACTATATAACAGAGTACAGTGTGAAATTATCCATTCACAATAAACATGACTGTCACAACCACTGATGCAGACTTTCTCCAGCTCCAACAGGTGAAATCAGCTGAAACTGATGCTACTTCAGATTCAGGTCAGTATTTGACCATGTTTCTTTCTCAGACAGAAACACAGTTTACACAGAAGAAGATGCAGCAGTTGTTTTAATCCTACTCACCTTTAACTGACATCCAGCTCTGTGCTGACTCTTCTCCTGAGTGTTGACACTTGTAGAAACCCTCATCTGACTTCAACACTGCAGAGATGTTCAGCTCCCTTCTGCTATCATTTTGAATCAGTTTGTCATTTCGATAGAAAACACATATGAAACTAAGTTTTCTGTCCTGAACTTGCAGCTGAGACTAACAGGATCTCCCTCAGTCACAGGACGGACAGGGCTCACCAGGATAATATGTTCATCTGTAAAACAGAATATGAGGTTTCAGTCAGAGATCAGCTGCTGCAGAACTTCAGAATAACTGGATGGAGGACGATGAGAAGAGATCACAGATTAAATTGTGGAGAATCTAACTGATCCAACAATGTGCAGCACGTCCATACCAACAAAAATTGTATTCACAATCTATGCAGCCTAGAAGCAGCTAAAGAGGGCGACCCCCACGAGCTTTAAGTGGTTTTATACATCCAAAGAACTTCTGTAAAAACAGACCAGGCGTCTAATCGAGACCTGCTTTTATTTGTCAAAATGTTTACCCACACCAGTAAACGGGGTTGGCGGCTATTTGGGACTTGGCTATTCATTAAAGTTTTACGGTAAGGACAGATCAAACATAAACCCACACAATCTTCTGTATAGCTACATCCAGTCATCGTCACAGTAAGGTGATGAAATGTGTCTCAGCCTCAGCAGGAGAGACATGTGACTGTGACTCTCTTTGGAAACAGAATGAGATAAAAACTGACTGTGACATTTGTACATGGTTAAAATCACTGTTTTATTAAATACTTACTATGTTACTGAAAACAATTAGATTTGGTGGCCAGTATAGATTTTAGGGAGTGGTTTACAAAATGGTTTAAACTTCAGGGAAACACTTGTGGTTTGACTGCAGTCGATGAAAGTCAAGTCTATGGCTTTGTTAATGGGTACATATGAAACAGAATGTGGATGAAACTGACACAATAATACCAGTGAGAAGGTTAAAATTTTTAGTTTTAAGGGCAAAACACACTAAAAATCTCAGCTGTGAAATATTGACATGGTCAGGAAATATTGTTTGCAGTTTTTTAAATAAAAACCAAAGATGTTTGAAGTTGGTCCAGAGCAGAAGTTTCTGGTGTGCAGTCAGTTTCTTTAAGTTAAATTATTTGGCATTACCTGTTTGATCAGCACATGACTGAATTATACTGCAGTGCAGAGGACGTCAGATTTTCTACCTGATTTCATAATATTTGTTGTGTAATAATCTTTAGGAAAAACAAATCAATGACATAAATCTTGAGCATTTTAAGTGAATGATTAAAGACAAACAAATGTAACAAAAGAGGGGAGATTTTCTTATTTTAACTTTTTTATGTACAAAGGTGTTAAATGTTGATGTTATTTACTAATGATTAAAAACTCACATTAATAATCAAGTATTATAAAATATGTTAAATCTACAGTAAATAGATAAAAGGTTTTGGTTCATAGTTAATTACTCAGATACCATGAAGCAGTAATGGGCCAAACTCTTGTCAGATTGTCAGTACATCATCCTCCTCAGTGTAAATGTACACAACATCTAATATTCAGTATGTTGAAACACATAATATGATGTTTAAAATAATTTATACAAGACAGAAAACATAATGAAACCATACTCTGTTTAGTGATGTTGACTGCGTTGCTGAACTCTCCTGATCCAGACTCACACCAGTACACTGCATCACTCTGCTGGTTACTGTTTATGCTGCATGTGGATCCAGTCATTGTGCCCCAGTAGGAGCGACATGATGAGTATGACGGGTAGTCGTCCTCAGTAAACCTCCTCACTCTCCACTCAGTAGAGTTTCCCTCACAGCTCAGTGAGACAGAGTCAGAGGTGAAGTGTTGCACTCTGTCAGGACTCACTGTGAGAGACGCTGATGAATGAAAATCTGAAAAACAACATGTAATAATGGGTCAAAGCAAACACAGAGATTTTAAGATTTAAAATGCTACAACGCAAATATTCCTTTATTGCTGAGTATTAGTGCAAACATTAAAACAAGGTGCAGTGTTTGGTGAAACTGGTTTCTACCTTGAAAACTTGCTACAATCTGAATTTATTTTAAATGATAAACAACCAAGTGACTACAGCTGCTGTTGTCTGTAAAGTGGGAAACTACCTACTTTCACCTGCCATCTTTCAAAGATACAGAGGTGAGTATTTCAAACTGAACGTGCTGCATTG